AATGTCCAGTCCCTGACCTCCAGAGGTGAGGGGTGGGTTAAGAGGGCCCAGTGTTTTCTCAAACTAGCCACACCCCTAGGTGCTCTGCCCAAAGTTTCCTTATTGACATGACAATACACCCCCTTTAGAAAGCAACCTTTTAGAAACACTAAGAGATCTGTGAGTTATAAACAGTGGATAAAGACCAAATATAGATGGGCAATCTATGTTGTTCATCTGAATGATCAAGTATAATTTATCTTCTAGAAATCACAAGGTTGTATTTATTTACCCTTCGTCACTTCATAAAGAGGATTTATAACACTACACTTCTAGAAAGCACTGTATGACACCAAACTGAGAAAGATGAGTCAGAGAATGTATTCAGGCTCCAGGTACCATGTGGAATAGGATTAATACAGCTCATCGAAGTGGTCTTCTTCCATACTGTTGACCAACAGTAACATGCTCATGAAGAGCACACCTAAGACCAGAGAATGGGCATGGAGGCAGACTGCAGAATCCTCTTCACCATGCTCCAAGAATGAGTTACAGTGCTGAGGAGACTTGTTTCCCTCGTGTTCCAAGGATGAACTAACTAAGGTGCAGTTGTTTTCTTCCACCAGCATGCCTGGGAGCTGAAGTAAGGCCCAGGCTACTGTATGCATGTGACTTATGAGATGTGTACATGGTGTTGCCAACGTACCAAGACTCAGACATGTCTGCCCAGGGGAGAGTCTCTGACTTTATGTTCATCAGAAAAAAAAATATATATATACATATATTTCTTTAAAAATAAATTACATATTTATTTTTACATTCATAAGGGGAAATAAGTATAAAATATATATTATATTATATATAATTATGTGTATGTATAAGTAAGTAAGGCTTTACTTATGTGTATGTATATGTTTTATATATACATATATATGTACATATGTATATATATATATATAAAATCCCAATTTTTTTCACTCAGGGAAAGACAATTTCAGTTGTAAAGGGAAAAAATGCCTGGCCACCCTGATATGTTAATATTCCTATTTATAGTTTTTATGATTTGCCACTAAAATTAGAGTCCCTTTCTTGTACACTAAGAAGAATCTTTGTACATAGCAATCCTTGCCTTAAAGTGAGTTCATCCAGACATTAGGAATAAGTAAATAAAACAGTGTTTTCTGTATCACTCATAGGTTTTATAATGCTGCTCCTGCCAAATCTTACTCTGCTTGCAACTTTCCCATCAGCTCTACTTCTATAAGGCTAGAAGAAGATAAACATTTTCTGTCCAATTCCTTGATATACAAGAATTATGGACTCTATAGGAGTTCAACTTAAAACCAATTAAAGCAAGGAGGCACTGAGAAGGTGTGCAAAGACTCATGGCAACAGGTTAGCTTTTGTAAGGTTCTATCAGAACGTTGTGTGAAAGGGAACTTCTGCAAGAGACATAGGTAGGGGAAGTGGGTAATGGGCACTGACAGAACATGCCCTCAGTCCTTGCTATGGGCATGCTGAAGGCGTGAAGGGAGAGGAACAGCCCAACCTTTGCTCCTAGGAACAGCTGTGGCATGAGCACATCTCAATCAAGCAACAGGATGGCTGAAAATGGTGACTCACTGTGAACTTACGCTGCAATGGCCCTTTGGTATGTGCTTCTGCCCTGTCCTAAGGACATCTGCCCTGATAGAGAGAAAAAGAGTTTCCAATCGTGCAGGTGGCATTGGTAAAACAGTCATCTGTTGCAAACAGCAGTGCTGGGACCTCATGCTATGAAAAGCTTGACTGGGTGGGGGATGATGAAGCAAACCCAGGAAAAAAAAAGAGATTTAGGGATTCTGGGAGAATGGCATGAGAGCTCTTTCTTTTGAAAACAGAATATCTGACAGAATTGGGTATTATAAGTTCAATCAAGTCAGTAAATAGATCTCCGCATGGCTCGGTAACCAATGTGGCACAAACTCTGACTGGAGGACAAACCCAGTATTTGCTCCATTTCTTCCTCATCTTTGCATGTTATGATGCAATGCAAGAGCCCATGTTCATATTTGAAAGGATGTATTGCCTAGGGTAACTTATCTGAAGATGCTAATCATGGGTAATGGGAAGATTTTGCTTCTGTTAATAAGTATATGGGCTGAGAATGACACATTGACTTTATAATCTGTTTTAAAAGTCTTTCTTTTGTGGTGAAAATAACTTCTAGAATGCAGACTTTAGTTCTTACTGATGCAGCACTTTTCCTATTCTGATAAACCAATACCATTAATAGTGATATTTTATCCCATACAACAGAAAAAAAAAACCGTCAGAAACAAAAAAAGTGCAACATGATGGGCACCGAATACCTACCACATAATTATTACCATTGTAAAACATGCTACACTAATTAATTTTAATTAATGAACAAATTAAATTTGAAGGAATTGTTGTCAATAGTTCACTGCCTCTTCAAACAGACTCCCGGAACACCATCCGAACCCTTGAATTCCCAGAGTGTTTTTGAGTGAAGCCCTGAGCAAAGAGAACTCAGAACCATATTCATAAACAGCAAAAGATTCAATGAGAGAAGAAAATTCACTGGTCACAGGCCTATGAATATATAAAAAACTTTTTCTACAGGAGTTCTTACTTACATATCACTATTGAACTATACTACTCTATACACAATTACATTATTATAAGTGGAAACATTAACAGTGGATTTTTAAAAGCATCACACACACACACTTCTCTAATATAACAAAGCCTTCATGATCACAGTATTTCTGGGTTTAAAACAAACATTCTGCTCATAATGTCTTCATACTAAGCACTGCTATACATAGTCCTTTTACTAACAAAAAATGTTAGATTCAAAGAGCAATGAATGGGAAAAAACACATATTTTTGTGGAGAACTGTTATTTCTGGAAGGACATAACTGTGTGTGTATCTTAACTAGATCGAGACTGGACTGAAGCAGGGATATAGACTATTTTTTGGAGAGAAAATATAGTTGTCAAATAAACTGTCAAATTTTTGGCCATATACAAGTTTTTGTCCTATGTAATCAAGAATTAAAGAACAGATAATAATAAATAATAAATTATGAGAAGAGTGGAAGAAGATAAATACAAAGAGCCATGCATTATGTGGTTCCACTGATATTAATTATGCAGAATAAGCAAATACATAGATAATAGATTAGGCTTGGAGAATAAAGAATGAGTTTTTCTGTGAGTTATAAAAATATTCTGGAGTCAGTGTTGGTAGTAGTACAAATATGTATATGTACTATATAATGTAAATTATACCACATGTAAATTATTCCACAGACCTTTATCTAGATCCTTGATAAAGTTCTTTGAAAAATAAATTAATTAATTAAAGAGTTGAAATAAGACAAAATAAAAATAAAACAGATACACAATTCTCATTTTCAGAATGCTTTCTTGTTAGGTCTTTGAGCAGAAGCTGATCTAACTAAAATTTTATTTCATCCACAGATAATGCACAATACATTTTCTGAAATGAACTTAGTCCAGGGATATGACTTAGAGTCAGAGTGAATGCCTAACATCTTCTTAAAAATAGCAAATAATAGAAAAATAACAAAAAATAGAAAGTTCAAAACCATGTAGTGAAAGCAGTTGTTCTGCTATTTGACTACTGACTAAGTGATGAAGAAAATACCATGAGCCATTGGCCATAGTCATGGATACAATAAAAAAATCCATTGTTTCTTTACTTGTCATCTCAGGGAGAAACTCTTTGTTTTCTTATCAGACATTTTAATACACCTTGATCACTTATGATGTGGTGCTGATCGTACTGAAGTTTATCTAATTTTCCTTGCACTTAGAATTCCAAGTTAATATTCTGCCTTCTATTTGTTTTTTTATAGGGAGGTTGTTTTGGGGGCCATATCTGATAGTGCTTAGGGCTTACCCTTGGCTCTGCACTCAAGGATCACTCCTGGCAGGGGAACAAATAGGGTGTTGGGGATTAAATCTCAGCAGGCCATGTGCAAGGCAAATGCCCTGCTCATGGTATTATTGCTCCAGCCCTCAATACTTCATATTTATAGGACTAGAGCGATAGCACAGTTGGTAGGGTGTTTGCCTTGCACGCAGCCAACATGGTCGACCCGAGTATTTATATGGAAGAGGCTTAAAATTTATCAGATTCAGGGATGGAACAATAGTACAGTGGGTAAAGTATTTTACTTGCACATGCTGACCTGGGTTCAGTCCTCAACACCACAACCAGGAATAATCCCTAGAGCACTGCCTGGTACAGCCCCCCAAAACAAAAACAACATATTTACCAGATTGACCTGGTCAATTATTCTTCTACATGTACCAAGTTCATTGTATTAAGAATCAGAAAGAGTGGTTTCAAAGTTAATTAAAAAAAAAAATGCTCAGGTCTTACAAACAAGAAAATGTGCTTGGGTCGGTCACAATTAAGAAAACTGAACATGCCCTTATAGAGAAGAGGGCATTATTTCAATGATAAATACATCAGAAGTACTGGTAATATGCAGGGCTATCTTTTTAAGAGTACAAACTTATATTTTCTTTTTATTTTGTGGAGTTTTGGGTTACACCCGGTGGTGCTTAGGGATTACTCCTGTCTGTATTCTCAGGGATCAGTTCTGGTGGAACTCAGGGGATCATATGGGATCATATGAGATGTCAGGAATCAAATTCAGTATAGCACAAAGTTGTGCTATATGCTAAGAATATGCTAAGAAAACATTAAAGGCCCTGGAAACCAGCTTTCCTTCCTGGTGTTCTCCTTAATCCAGTGAACAACGATAGTGTGCAAAGAACAGATTATCTTTCTGACATCAGCACATGGAAAAGAAAAGGTCACTGAAAACTTAGCTGACTTATAAAGACATTCAAGAAATAGTGTGTGTGAACATAATTGTATAACCAGAACTAGATGCCTGAGATCTAGAATTAGAAATCAAATGTATAAAGATATAGAGGAAAACTATGTTGGGAAGTGATACCTTTGTATCCTACTTACCTGCAGCAATATAGGATCCTCCCCCAGCTTTGTATAGAAAATGGCTGGCAAATGGCGCTGCACAAATGATGAAGAAGCTCGCAATCAGCACGGCAACCACACCCAGAAGCATGAAGGCTGCCCAGAAACCCCTGTAGACTGTTGGAGCAAGGAAGAAAAAGAAAACAAAATCCCAGTTAGAATATGCGCAGAGCAGACCATCACACAGTTCTGAATTGGCTGAGCTCAAAGCCCGAGTATGAAGGGGGACCCACAAACATGTGCTTCATATTGGAGGCATGCACATGCCTAAACTCTGGGAATTTCTTTATTAGGACTGGATTTCTCACAGTTGAAGTGGGGACATCTAAAGGTTTAGAAAAAGTTTTCTTCACCCCATTGGGCCATGTTAGGTATTTTAGAGCAAATGAATAAAAACACGAAAAACGTACTAAAACAAATATATATAAACACTGCACCTGACCATCTGCTACAATAAGTTTGGCACCATAGAGATTCTTAGAAGTTGATAACAATCACCTACATCCCCTAACACTCACTCCCAAATACACTTCTCTTTAGATTTTTCACTCTTTGGGGTGGGAGGAAGGGGAATATTAAGATAATAGAATTCCAAATGCAGAAAAATAGTTTGTGCAGATTAAGATTTAAAATTTGAAATGAGTTATATTTAAAGCATATGACTTTTTATTAATACTAGTTCTTAGAAATATTAAAAATGAAAATTCATAGTAACCTTTAAGTGAAGGACCAGCAATATCAAATTAATGGATGCTGCTGGTGATAAATGGATTGTGCACTGGATGATATCAGCTAATCAAATAAAGATGAATTCTAATGATCATTTCTGAGCTGGATAATTACCAATCTATTAAACAAATTCATCCTTTCCTGTAGGATAACATTGATTTGTCCTTTCTCCCTTGTCGCAGAAAGCTTAAGTTTATCGCATTAGGTTTATAGCACCCATCACAGTGCTCCTCAAGCACTCCCATTCCTCTGTGTTTATCTTTAACGTCTCCTCTGTGCTCTGCTTCCCTAACTGTTAATCACTTATGTCCCCAAATCAGACCCTGTGACTTGTAAAGTCAAACTCTTCAGAGATCTCTGGATTTTGTATCTGTAAGTGAAATATTGCTTCTCTCTTTCCCTTATGTTCTCTGCATAGTTTACTTTAGATCAATGTCCTTTTTGTGTAGATACAGGAAGACAGTTAATGCTATGCTTTCGTAACTTGGAGTGAATTGACTTCAAATAACATTTACTCCTGGGCATCTTTCATATTTATTCGACTCAGTCTCAGTCACCCTTAGTTTCTAGCACCCCAAGAGCAGGGTCCTGATAAAGTGAGTGGATGGACCCAGGCCAAGCTGCAAACTACCGTGGCATCAAAATGGTACAGGCCAAGTGCCATAAAACTTACAAGTTAAGAGCACAGTCATGGACAAATTCTGTCACCAGCCAAAGAGAAGTGACTGGGCAAAGATTAATCTGGCCTAAGGACTGTAGTCTGGGATCTATAGCAATATGTTCCCCTAGGAGAGCCATCCTATAAGCTTAATATATTTCTTACAGTGTCCATACAAAATGACTAGAAAGATTTCCTTTTTCCTTTTTTTTTTTTTTTTTTTGCATCACACCCAGCAATGCGCGGGGGTTACTTCTGGCTCATGCACTCAAGAATTACTCCTGGTGGTGCTAGAGGGACTATATGAGATGCTGAGAATCAAATTTGGGTCGGGTCGGCTGCATACAAGGCAAGGCAAGCACCCTACCCACTGTGCTATCGCTCCAGCCCCAAAGATTCACTGTCACTGTCCTCCCATTGTTCATCGATTTGCTTGAGCAGGCCCAGTAACGTCTCTATTGTGAGACTTTTGTTACCATGTTTGGCATATTGAGTATGTCATGGGTAGCTTGCCCAGGCTTGCTGTGCGGGTGAGATACTCTCAGTAGCTTGCTGGGCTCTCCGAGAGGGGCAGAGAAATTGAACCCGGCTCAGCCGGCCGGCTGCATGCAAGGCAAATGCCCTACCACTGTGCTATCACTCCATCCCCAAAGATTATTAAGAACTAAATCTAAAATGACCTTTAAATATATATGGACTAAGAAAAGGAGAAACACATCCTTGAACAGATCTCCTAGTAGGAGATCTTTGTCTTAGAAGAGCTTCTGAAAGGAAAGACTTTGCATTTGTTAATTGTGCTATCTCATCTAAGTATAGTTGCTCCCCTCACTCTGGGAGGTTGGGCTCTTGACTGGGCATGAGAGAGTCTTGACTGGGCAAGACTGAGAGACTGGGCATGGAGAGAATAGCATGAGGGACCGGAGGACATGGGAATGAGGGATAGTGTGAGACTGGAATGGGATGCTCAGTGAGATTTGAATAGGCACGTGGGAAGAATGGAATAAATGGCCAGACGGAAATTGGAATAAACAGCAACTGATCACCAACGAGCCTGGCAGCCCTGTTGCACCTGTTGGTGGCAGCTGCAGGCCAGGGTGGGGAAGGGGTTCATGGCCACTAAACACACATGGCAAGAGAGAGAGAGAGAGAGAGAGAGAGAGAGAGAGAGAGAGAGAGAGAGAGCACTTTCATTATTATAGAATACACAGTTTTCCAAAGGCTAAAACACTAAAATAATCTCCTATTGGAGTAAATGAAAGCAAATTTCAGTGAAAGAAATTATTCGGGCTATAATTTTTAATAAAAATATGGAAACTTTAGTTGTAGTAAAGTAGTACTGACTAATTCAAAGTATAGCAAATCAGTGCAGTTTATGCTCCAAATATTTGCTGTCCTTTCTTCCCCAGAATTTACTAGATACTGGCAAATCTCATATTTTTCTCTATTCAATCTTTTGATTTCACTGCTTCACCCACTGCAGGTTCTGTGGGAAGAGTTCAGGGTATAAGTATGTTTCAAAGGAGACATCTAGGGAAACAGGAGCTCACTCAAGTGCAACCCTGACCACAAATACAATTGGACAAATAGAGCAGACAGCTCTCTGAGGACTCTCAACAGTAAATAAAGGCAAGTGCATTGAGCAGGAAATTCAAATCTTAAACAAAGGTCAACTTGGCTACAGATAAATTTTTTATTTTGTTGTTTCTGTTTGTCTCCCTGGAATTGAGCTGAAGGCAAGCCAAATTGGAAATGCTATGAGCGGTGCAAACAGAAATGAAGAAGAGAATCGTTAAACCATAACTTCAGCAGAAAAGCAGAACGGGCCCCTCTAAGTGGAGTGCAAAGGTGATTTCCCATACTTATTTTCCTCTTGTATCCAACCATTGCCACCTGTTGGCCATTTTAAGCATGTATTTTGCACTGCTATCCCCGTGGAGACTTAGATCTTTAAGATAAAAAAAAAAAAAACAATACAATCGCTAGGAAAAAGCATTGAAGCATGGAATGTCCATTGTTTCAAGAACAAGAAAATTATTGTTAGATGTTTTATCTTGTCAAAGCTCTTTGCAACTTTGTCTCTAGCCTCACCTCCCTCCACTCCAAAAAAAAAAATATATAAGAAATCTCTGAGATTAGGAAAAGCTAAAACAAACTGGCCTGAAGCTTGTACTTAAAACTTAAGAGCACAGTGGGGCTGATAAGGACCCCAGATCCCTAGCGAGACAGTACCAACCAGTGGAGACTATGCAATAGAACCATTTCAGCCTCTCCTCTCCTTCATCTTCATGACCGATCATACTAAACTATACAACCCCTGAAAACATTCCTCTGTTATTTTCTATACATGCTTGATCTTCATATGTTCATTTTTGCATGCTTGCTGGTCTCCATAGAAATATGTACTATTTTCCTGGAAAACCACAAAATGTATATAAACTATTACATATCACTCTGCTGGGCATAAATCCAGATCCCCAAGTCCCCCACTTAGTTTTTCTCTAGCAAAAACTTCTGGTGGACATCCTTACCAGCTTAAGTTGTATCACTGCCAATAGAAAGCCTTCTATTCTATTTAGTTGTTCCTGTGCTTTGTCCTGCACACCACTCTTTTATTTTTTTTTCTGCACTGAAACAATTTCATGGAACAGTGAGTGATACAGCACAAGAAGCGAAATCTCAGAATCTTTCTGACTAGAGAAATTGGGAAAGGGGCCCTAAAGATCCTAGAACCTGGGGAAATCCCACTGATGATAGCTGGAGGATAAAGTCTCTGTAATGTCTACACTGACCAATCCCTAAGTGAGCCATGCAACCCCCTGGGGGTGCTGGGATTATCTAGTGGGTTAGTAGAACCTTCTGGTACAATTTGAGGTGCTTTCTGCATTTTTCCTTTAAAGGGCAGACTTCCTGGGAAGACAAAGTGATTTTTTTTCTCTGAAAAAGACCAGAGAATTCAAGAACTTCTGGTCAACATAGTAATTAGTCTACCCTAATGCCATCTAGGTTGCAAATGTACAAAAATGCTCAGAGACATAAAAAAGCTTTGATTATGAAACAACAAACTACCAAAGTCCTAAGAGGTGCATTCGCCAGGAATACTTCAATCTACTTATGTTAGTTCACATTGGGCTGTCCTTGCTCTCCCCACAGGGAGCTTAGATTTATTGAGTTACTCCCACTACAGTGCCCCTGAGGCACACTCAATTTCATCAGGCACTAATGATTCTATATTGCTTTTCTCTTTCCTTTATGTCATTTGCATGGTTTATTTAGTAATGTGCTTTGTGTATAGACACAGCAAGACAGTTGATGCTATGCTTTTGTAACATGGTACTTAATTGACTCCAAATATTTATTCCTAGGCATTCATCATATTTATCTTACCTAAGCCTCACTTGCCTTTATTTCCTAAAGCCCCCAAAAGGAGGGTCCCAACCAAGGGACTGGATGGACCCAGGGCAAGCTGTAAGCTATCCTGGCATCAAAAGGGGACAGACAAGTTAAGCACCATAAGTATAATAAGTTAAGAGCATGGTCATGGAACAAATTCTGTCATGACCCCCAAAAAAGTAACTGCTGGGGTTCGGAAAGAAAAAACTGGCCTGAGGACTCTAGTCTGGGATATATAGCAAGATGTACCCAGCAAGTGGAACCTTTAAGCTTAATATATCTCTAACTGTGTTCATACAAAATGACTAGAAATATTATAAGAAGTAAAATCACTATGATT